AGCCCGAACTTCATAGTGAAACCCTGTTTCAAAAAGACAAAATTTTTTTTTAAAGTGGAAAAAGTGGCTTGGGGGCTGGGGACAGAGTTCAATGTGATGCCCTGGGTTCAAACTCCAGTACTGACAGGAAGATGTTTTGGAAAGGGTCTTCTTCCAGTAAGGTGCTAAGCCTGGAAACATAATCACAGATGGGGAGGGGTGGGGGGGCACCAAGGGGCAGAAGCAGGAAACCTCTCACAGTTGGGCACACAGACCACCACAGTAAAGTGGCACTCACTGCAACTGCGTCACAGGCCCATACTGCTAAAATCAAATGCTTCGTGGCTTTATATTAATACTACCAAGGACGTGCCACAAAGGATGCTGCTCTCTGTCCATCCAAATGCCCACTTCCCAGGCCAGCCAAATAGCTCAATGGATTAAAGTGCCTGCAAGCAGGTGCAGGGGCCAGGGGTTCAATCCCCAGGCCTGCAACACCTGTGCCAGCCCCGCCCCCAGGGCTTGCTGAGGTGGCAATTGAGACTGGGCATTGTGGTGCACGTCTGTAATCCCAACTCTTGGGAGGCTATAAACAGGTGGATCACTATATAGTCTGATCAAGTAGTGAGACCCTGAACACTCTGTAGACCCTTCCCTGAAATTTAAAAAAAAAAAAAAAAAATCCCAAATGCCCACTTCCATTTCTACTAGGGATCCTGGTTGGCCAGGCCCCACAGATGCCCCTGAGTCCCAATACAAAGCAGCCCACAGACCAGAAGCCCCAGGGTGTTAATGGCACAAGGCCAAAAGACATAGGACTAAGGTCTAGCCCATGCTGTTAGCTGGGTCCCTACATCACAAATGAGGCACCCACAACTCAAGACACAAGGTCATCCTGAAGACCAGACAGTTACTTTACCCTTTCTTTTTCCTCTAGTGCTCAGGATTAAAACCTGGTCAGCCCCTGCCCTACACACACACACATACCCACTCCTTGCAATCACATACTCAGAAATTAGGTCATCTGTCCTATTTCCCACCACTGGGTGTGGCAGGTGGTGTCCCAGTCATGTGACCTGGCACCTCCCCATTTCCTGTAAATTAATCTTTACAGCATGGCAGGCACAAGTCACTCCAGAAACGCACCCTCCTTGGGGTTAGTGGTCACTAGAGACAATAACCCCCATTTCAAGAGAGCTCCACAAAATTCTAATTCTGTTTCGTACTAGTGAGAATGGTCCACAGTGTGCTGTCTGCTGGTCACACTGGTTCATTTTTTTTTTTTTTTTTTTGGTGGTAGCAGGGATTGAATTCAGGACCTTGAGCTTGCCAGGCAAGCACTTGTTCCACTGAGCTATCTCCCCCCCCACCCCCCACACCCTCTCAGGGATGATGAGGTTCTCTCTTTCCTTTGAGAAGCCACAAGAGCCCAAAAGTCTTTCCTTTCCTTTTCTTTTGATACTGGAGGCCAAACTCAGGACCTTACTGTTTGCCAGGTAGGCATTTATTCCGCTGAGCTACATCCCTGGCCCGAGTCTTTTCTATTCATCTGTTTAGAGACAGGACTCCACTATGCTGTCCAGGCAAGCTTCAAACCTCAGCATCTTAAGGAGCTGCACTTTTAATACATCTGACTCAGGGACTTGCTGTTCTGTTCCCAATCACATGTCCCACCCTTGGCCGGGGCCGTGGCCATTCTGACACAATCCAGCCAGTGCTAGAAACAGTAGCAACATTCTTGATGCAGATTTAGAATTAGTTTTGCCTTCATTTTATTTAAGTACTGTGCCTTTTTTTTTTTTTTTTTTTAGTGCTGAAAATTTTAAAGACATTCTCGGGCTAGGGAGATAGCTTAGCAGTCTAAGCACCTGCCTGGCAAGCACAAGGACCCCAGTTTGATTCCTAGTACTGTATCTCAGGCATGGTGGTGCAGGCCTGTAATCCCAGCACTGAGGAGGTTCAGACAGGAGGATGACTATGAGTCTGAGCTGTGTACTGAGACCCTGTTTCAAATAAATAAACAACAATGCAATTTTTACAATGAGAAGGGGCCGGGGAGATGGCTCAGTAGGATAAGCGCTTGACTGGCAAACACAAGGATCTGAGTTCAATACCCGGTTCCGCCAAAAAAAAAAAAAAAAAATACAATGAGAAGGAAAGATTTGTACTAATAGTGTTTAGACAGGATATCATGTCGGCATCTTGTACTATGAATAACAACTATGAAGACACCCATATGCAATGTACTAATTATTGAAACTGTCCTATTAATTGGTCTTGAAACTGTCTCATTGGGGCTGGGGAGACAGCTCAGTAGAATAAGTGCTTCCCTGGCAAGCGCAAGGGCCTGAGTTCAATCCCCGGTTCCTCCAAAGGAAAAAAAAAGAAAGAAAAGAAACTGTCTCATTGCTATTTGTTTCTCAACAAAAATTGTATAATTTTTAGAAAGATTATGTCATTTGTTTTCTCCTGTAATATGCAACACCAATGATACTATTGTTGCCCTGAAGTCACAACTATGACTCCTCTACTTTACAAGTAATTGTGCAGTGAACACACAGCACCCACCCCCATAAGTGGCAGCATGGTCCCACTTGTCATTGACTGGGGAGTCCTGCCACCACAGCACACAGTCCACCTCCCTGAACCCAGCTCTGCAGATTCTGCCTGTAGTGAGGAAATGCCACACTAAAATTCCTTCATTTTTTTGACAGCATATATTTGGGACCAACTTCTAGAAGTGAAATTACTGCAACAAGGAGTTTGCAAGCCCTCCGAGATCCCCAAAAGCAACTCTAACAGTATCTGATGCACACCACTGGAACAGGGTCCACGGAATGCATGCTTGGAGGACTCTACAATGTGCATGGTTCTTTTGTTTTTTTCTGGTAGGTTTGCCACCCCGCCCTCAGATAACACCCTGGGCTGCAGAATGGCAATCAGTTGCTACCTTCCTGGGCCCAGACTATTTCCATGCCACAAGGTGGGCTTTTCATACAGCTGCATCCCTGTTGGCTCCCTTTTCCAAAGAGCTCAGTGAGTCCCATGGAAGGTGGCCGGAATGTACAATTGTGCAGGTGCCAGAGACACCAATCTGGTGGTGACAGGAAAAGTTTACCACAGCTAAGCAATGACCAGCAACTCCACTCCAGAACAGGCACAAAAGAATAGAAGACAGGGGTTGGGGAGATAGCTCAGCAACCTAAGTGCCTGCCTGGCAAGCGCAAGGACCCGGGTTCAATCCCCGGTACTGCATGCCATGCTGGCTCCGGAACCAGGCTTGGTGGCACATGACTGTAATCCCAGCACTGGGAAGGCTGTGACAGGAAGATGACTACGAGCCCAAGCTGCGTATCGAGACCCTGTATCAAATAAATAAACTGTTGTTAAATATATTTTTTTTTTAAAAAAAGAATGGAATACAGGTATTACAAAAAAACCTTAAGTGCGAACTCAGAAGTGCAAAAGCTGCAACACTAACATTAGCCAGAAGGTAGCCCCAACCCAGATGGGGAACAAGGGAGTCCTAGACACACAGGGGACTATTACTCAGCCTGAAAGATGAAGTGCTATGGGCTGGAGAGATGGCTCAGTGGTCTAAAGCACCTACTCAGAACAAGCTTAGCAAAGCACAGGGACCGCGGTTCAAACCCCCAGCACCACATGCCAGCCAGCCCCGCCCCCTGGTGGGCTGAGCTGGCCACACACACACACACACACATAAATAAAATAAATAAATTAAAAAAAAAAAAAAAAAAAAAAAAAAATAAAAAAAAAAAAAAAAAAGATGAAGTGCTAACACACTGTACATGTGGATGAATCTGCAAACAGGCGGCCAGATGCAAAAGGCTGTCCTGTATCACATACAATCCCATTGATACAAGACATCCAGGAAGGCAAATCCTGAGACTGAAGCTGACAAGCAGTCACCAGGTGCTAGGGCAGGGGAACTGGGGGCTGATGGGTGTGGTTCCTTTGGGGTGATAAAACTGTCTGAATTGAAGAGTGGTAATGGTTTAATAATGTTCAAACATACCAAAAGAACCTAGGAGTTTAGACAACATATCATGTCTACATTTTGTCCTCTGAATAACTACTACAAAAACAGCAATATGCAATGTATTCATTATTAACTCTCCTACTAACCTGTTTTGAAACTGTTTCACTGCTATTTTATCTTTTTTTCTCATTAAAATGAATAAACATTTTTTTAAAAAAACGACTGAAGGGGCTGGTGAGATGGCTCAGCGGTCTAAAGCACCTACTTAGAACAAGCTTAGCAAAGCCCAGGGACCGCGGTTCAATCCCCCAGCACCACATGCCAGCCAGCCCCGCCCCCTGGTGGGCTGAGCTGACCACACACACACACATAAATAAATAAATTTAAAAAAAAATAAAAATAAAAAAACGACTGAAAATGCACCCTTTAAGTGGGTGGATTGCATGATATGCAAATTATATTCCAAAACAAAAATATTTTATATCAGCAGGGAAGTTTGAGTACGGTGGAACTGTTCTCCAGCCATCGGGTCATATGACCAAGTGGAGTCCCCAAGTGGGAGCTCCATGCAGGAGGGTAGTAGCTCAGATTCCCACGAAGCACAGGCCAGCAAGGGCTCAGCTCCAAGCACCAGTGCAGCACAGGGCCCTGTGCTATGAGAAACAAGAGTTCTGAGCTTTCGGTGCAACACTGGGAAATCACAGCACAGCTGGAGCAAGGACCACTAGGCCCCCAGGATAATCCTCTCCAGCTGATCTGCACAGAGGCCAGGCCCACCCCATTCTGCCTTGGCTTTCAAACACAAGGCCGACAATCGTGATGTCTGAGCCCTGGGCCCAGGGGGTTGACCCAAGCAGACAGCTTGTGTGACAGCTTGTGTCCTGCAGGGCCTTGCACCCCTAGAGATGGCTGCCAGCTTCCCAAGGAGCGCTCAGCCAGGACTCCACAATGCTGACTGGGGCCTGCTGGGCCAGAATCAGCCAGAGCTCCTCATTCCACAGATACCAACCCCAGCACTCACCTGTCCTTGGGTACAGGACATGCAGGTCCTAGCATTGGGCCATGGCTACAGCTACGTCAGAAGGCAACTCGCATCAACGTGCTGACCAACCTAAAGCAGAGGACAGAGGAGTAAATGCTAAGTTTCTGAGGAACTCAGGTTTGCCTCTGCTGTGATCCCCAGCAAGGGAAGTTGAACCAGAGAACTGTCAGCTGTGAGGTATGAATCAGACAGGGCCAAGCAGCAAACACTAGCCTGCCAGACATGACGGCCCCAAAGCCAGAGCCCTGCTGCCTTTCAACACTGAACCCTGAGCTGAGGGACTCAGGTTCTAATAGCACTGGTGTTAACAATAGAAAGAGCCCCAGCTTAGAGCAGCTGCTTCAGCATGTGTTCTCTGCTCCTGGTTCTGTGGACACCACCATGTATCTCTGAATCCATAGACCTCCTTAGGGGGTAACAGGATCATGTCGTTTTATAAGTCAAGGAGTGGACACATTGAGAACAAGAACTTTCCAGGGCCAGAGAGCACGGAGGTGACACCCACAACTCACCCAGGTCTTCTCTCCCAGTTTCCGCTCCATCTCCCTGGTACCCACCCCAGGGACTTAGCTCTGGTTCTGGTTTTGCATGTGAGAAACACAATGATACAAGGCACCTGGCCATATGATGGAAGACTTCACCCTGGCCTCACAAGACTTCTCCATAGGGTTTGCAATCCCCAGGAGGAGGGGCTACCTGCTGTCCACACAACACAGGAGAACTAAGGCTCAGGACTTTCAGGGCTCTGGGGAGCTTGGTGGTAGAGGGCATATGAACATGCATGGTGCTCTAGGTTCAGTGTCCAGCACAAAAACAAAGTGTTCAGCAATGTTCTCAAGATTGCAGAGACGGAATGGTCCCAGGCTTCCACTACTGGTTTGGGCTCAGGTATCCAGGCCATGGGCCAGGTCCCAGACTGAAGGATGCAGGCTGCCAACACTAGCTCTACCTTTCTACCCACACAACTACCAAGAGCAGACTCTGATGGGAAACCTTTATTTTTAAACTAGGTTCACAGCAATTCACGGCTATTAGATGGTGAGAAACATTCCCACAGGAAAATTCGTGAAATAAGGACAGCATCATACACCCTCAGGAAGGTCAGAGCACCAGGGAGCACACAGCACCTCACAGAGGACACCCAGGGTTGACTGCATACACAGCACCCCAGCTCCTCCAGAATGCTGCTACTGCCCCACTTGGGCCAGGAAGCCCAACAGCACTATGAACTCACATTCTCCGGACCCCCCACCTGGCGGGGAAGCCAGAAGCGGGCTCTGAGCTCATCACATCTGCTTTGCCGCATCGAGGTCAGCACCACCAGCCCAGGCCTCAAGCCCACAATGGTCCAGAAATAAGGCACACCAGCAGGAAGCAGTGCTCCCACCTGAACTCATGCCCTGTCCTGGGCCAGCACCTGTCTCACAAGGAGGGTGGGAACACTTCCCTGCAGGTAAGCAACTGACAACAGGCAGCACAGTGTGCTGCTAATCAAGGACACTGGTCAGGTAAGTGGAATAAATGCACTTCAGACTCACCATGTTTCCAAATTACTATGGATTTGGCAGGATATAGCTCCTGTCGCTAAGTCAAGAACCAGGAGTATGCCAAAGTCAGCTGTGTTTCTACATGGTAGTAACAAGCTAGAACTCAAGCCCTCATACAAGGCATGGTAGCAGATGCCTACAATCTCAACTACTTGGGACACTGAGGCAAGAGGGTTACAAATTCAAGGCCAGCCCAGGCAAGTCAATGAGAAGTCAAAAAATAACACGGTTAGAAGATTGAACCCAACTCTCCCTGGGTTCAATCCCCTATAATAAAAAAGTAAAACAAAAAATTGATATACAGTTTTAAAACAATCCTATTTGAATACTCAGCATAAGCATCTCACTTCTGAGTGCCCATACTACACTTTAGTGCACCCTAAAAATCTCTAATAAACCCTGTTTCATCTCTTAAAAAAAGATACTCAGCTAAGCGTGGTGGCACATGCCTGTCATCCCAGCCCTTGAGAGGCTGAGGCAAGAGGATCACTGTGAGTTGGAGAGCAGCCTAAACTACACCAGTAACTTCAAGGTCATTTTATTTATTTATTTATTTATTTATTTATTTATTTATTTTGTCAGAACCAGGGATTGAACTCAGGCCCTTGCTCTTGCCAGGGAAGTACTTATTCCACTGAGCCATCTCCCTGGCCCTTCAAGGTCATCCTGAACTACATAGCAGGGCCCTGTCTCAAAGAAACCAACCAAACAAAAATACCCAGCAGAATGCATTTGTAGAAATGATAAGCTGATTCTAAAACTTCTGGTGAGGCCAGGGGCACAGCTCAGTATTAGTAGGTACAGTTAGCATGAGCAAACCCAAACCTCAAACCCCAACACCAAAAAAGGAGAGAAAGAAAAGGACCCAGAATCATGAAAAAAAGAAGGACCGGCATGAGTGACATAGCCAGGCTCTCTAAACTTACTATAAAGCTACAATGACCAAGACAATGTGACATGGACACAAAACAAGGAGCTCAACAAACAGCACGCTCATGCACATAGAAGGGTAACTATTCCCAACAAAGACCAAACACTGCTTTGTGTACCCACAGGGCAGACACAAACACCTCTTCTTGGAGACACTGCTGCGCAGAGTGCACCAGGTGCAGAGCAATACACAAACTCTAAAGAAGCAGGCAATTTTCATGCTGTGCCACATCTCTCCCGTTTGTGACAAATCCATTCTTCACCAATTACTCAGATAAAAGTTATCCTCTACCAGGTCAGGCATGATGGTGCATGCCAATCATCCCAGCATTTCAGTAGGCTGAGACAGGAGGATTGCCGCAAGTTCAAGGCCTATATTTTGAGATCCTTTCTCAAAAAAAAAAAAAAAAAAAAAAAAAGTTGATGAGTTGGAGCCCAGCCAGTAGAATTTAACAAAACTGTGTCTCAGTAAAAAAAGGTCTGGGATGTAGTTCAGTGTGTTGGCCCTGGATCCCATCCACAATTCACGCACGCGCGCGCACACACGCACACACACACACACACACACACACACACACAGTGGCTAGCCGAGCATTGTGGCACACACTCAGAAGACTGAGGTAGGAGAATCACTGTTAGTTCAACATAGAACTACATAGTGAGATTCTGTCTCAAAACGGAGAAGGGGGCGAAATAGTCCAGCAACAAGCCCATGAGATGCTCCCACTGGTTCAACCATGGTAAGCATATCAGCCCCAACTGCCACCCACACTACTACTGGCCATGCAGCCCTCCTTACTTGGGCGAGAGGCCTTGAGCTGGGATCTGCTTGAAGCCCTTGCCCAACACTCACCTGGCACTGAACGCTACACTCTCCTGACCCTGGAGCCCATCCTCCAGTCAACCCAACTTTTTCCAGCCAGGCAGACACACTGGCCTCCTTCATCACAGGCACAACCTCTATGGGCCTCAATTATATTTTAGAAAAGATCCAAGGGACGGACGATGATATCTCAAAAATCAATGACTTTCGAAATGGGTGCCACAGTGTATATAGTCTTGGGAGGCCAAAGCAGGAGGAGTACCTGAGCCCAGGGGTTAAGGCTAGTGCAGGCAACACAACAAGGCCCTGTCTCAGTGAAGAAGGAAAAAAAGGTCCATCTCAAATTTAAAAGACCTTTAAAATCATAACTACCACCAGGTATGGTAGCTGTAATCCCAAGTAGCTGTAATCCCAGCTATTTGGGAGGTTGAGGCAGAAGGAGTACAAGTTTAAGCTTAGCTGAGGCAACTCAGCAAGACCTGTGAAAATAAAGAGTTGAGAAGATCTTAAGTTTGAGCCTAACCTGGGCAGCTCAACATAAAGGCCCTAGGTTCAATCTCCATTCCAGAGGGGAAAAAGCTAAAAACAAAACAAACCTACCACGCCTCTGCCACATTTAAAAATCGAATCACCGGGGCTGGTGAGATGGCTCAGTGGTCTAAAGCACCTACTTAGAACAAGCTTAAGCCAAGCAAAGCACAGGGACCTTGGTTCAATCCCCCAGCACCACATGCCAGCCAGCCCCGCCCCCTGGTGGGCTGAGCTGGCCACACACACACAAAATAAATAAACAAACAAACAAACAAACAAATCGAATCACCCTTTAATTCCAAGGAACACCCAACCATGTTCAGCCCTCCACATCTCTCAAAAGCTGTCCTGGAGGAAGGAACTGAAGGGGCAGCTCACCCACATGCCCCCCGCCACCGCTCCTAGGCCTCACAGAAGCCCACCTGGCCCCTTTCACAGCCTGCCCTCCCTCCAGACTAGGGGAAACACAAAAGGGCAGGGTTGTGGGCCTTCATCAGGCCCCCAGGGCCACGTGGGATGAGTGACCCTCAGTAAGTGCCGGAATGAAGGGGTAGGAGTGGCCATGCTTGAGCTGAGCTGTACTTAGTGGGAAACTCACAAAGGAGGGAAGACCACTTAGCATTCTGAAGAGGAGAAACATTTCTTGAAAATAAATTGTAATCACTTTTCATTGATACATCATTTGCTGTTTTGCCATCCACCTCCAACTAGCTGGATAGAGAGCTTTTACTGATTTTATTTCCAAGCCATACATTTAAAACAGTATCAAGTAACCCTTAAGTACACAATTACCAACTCAGGAGAGTTCTGCGGTCCCCTGATAAATCATTATGGTTTGGCTTTAACCCTGCACCTGGGTACTACACTCACACAACACCCCATACAAAGTGCCACTTCCCCCGTCCCAGGAAAGAGCATACGTCCCAGGAAAGAGCACACCGGATGACCTGCGTGACAGCAAATCACTCTGCTCTGTGCAACAGTGTCCTTTGTTGCTATTTTATTGTCTCTACATTAGCCTCTCTTAACTTTGGGGCTGAGAAACAGCAGCCAGGCATGGAAGCGCATGCCTATCATCCCAGCACTCCACAAGCTGAGGCAAGAGGGACACCATGAGTTTGAGGTCAGCCTGAGCTACAAAGTGAGGCTAAGGCAAGTCTGGATGACACAGCAAGACCCTGTCTCAGAAATAAAAAAAAATCTCACAGCATAACGGTCAAACACCACATGCCTGAGGA